ACATGTTTTTTTAGGAGCTATTTTCTCTGAGATCCAATATTAAATTAGCAGTGGTTCTGAAACTTTAGATGTGAGGTATTCTGGCTTATAACTTAGGATTCCTCGCTTATGCATTAAATAAAAATTTCTCAGAGACACCCAGAGCACCTATAGGCAGGTAATATATAAAATAAAGAGGTGCTTCCATAAACCCGAACATAGAAAGGCATATCCTCACATCAACCTGTTTTTTGTTGGTTTTTTTTAATTGTGTATGCTGTGAAGTATGAATATTGTATGTTTTGCTTCTGTAGCTTACAAAATAATTATCAGCCATTTATATAGCACCATAAATTTGCCACCACAGAGCAAAGCACATTCACTGCACAGATTTCTCCTGCATTTTGTAATATAGCATTCTGGGTCCATTGGATAATTCTGAATATGTCAAAATTTAAGTGTAGAATCAGCAAGATCTGAAAGACATTCAAACTGCTGAAATGCTGCAGTGTCCCCTGTGCCATCAGGTATCAAAATTCACCTCTGAATTCAGTGTCATAACAATTTTGCCATTCTTAACGTGCCCTTTCTTAAATGGGTGCTGAAGGAATGGGTTTAGATGAGGTAGTATTTACCAGTTTTACAAACTGTCGTTTGTATTCTTATAATAATTAGTATTAATGCTAAGACACAATTAAAAAGTCACACATTTAAAGTCAGTTCTATGAGAGGTGTCCTAGGATAAGGCGAAAGTGCTTAAATGCCAATTGCAAGTTAATAAAAATCAGCAATTACAGTTTTGTGGAAGAGAATTCAGTACTCCAACAGCACTGGAAAGCTTTCATTTCGATTTTGCTTCCTTACTTGAGATCCCAGTGTTGGAAGATTGAGTTTGCTTGTCCAGAAAATGTTCCTCTGTCCTTTCTTCTTTTTGTCTGCCTGTCTGTCTTTCTGGTTCCCAATTTTCTCTCTCAGCAACATGGCTGAATAATTTCAGAGTGTAAGCCCTATTTTGGACAGATGAGAAGCTGATTTTTCAAACCCTTGTGGTTAACAAGTTTGAGAGGCTCAAACACACCCAGCAAAGTTAAAAATGGCCAGAACTGGGGATAGGGAGGCAGGGCCAGCTCTGTACCTGTGCTATGGGGCAACACGGCATTTCTCTTTCTCAACACAGCACCCTCCAGCTTAATTCACTCTGCTCTTAAATCATTGTGGTGGTTTTTGCTTAATGTGTTGTTTTTATTCCAGAACAATATTATTTCATGCTCGGCAGTCCCTGGTGAAGGCACCAGAGCGTTAATGTGCCTGCATTAGGCACACGGCTTCCACAACTTTCCGGTGGGAAACGGCACTTTTATAATTCACGGATGTGCTTTCTGAAATAATAACTCAAAATTGCATTCTGTTTTATTTAATCTTTTTTAATTGGCGTCTCAGAGGCTTTGCAGGAATCTGGCTGCAGATTTTCCACTTGCTGTTGGATTATACTTTTTTTTTCTTTTTTTACTGTTAGCAACTGCGTGCCGAGAAAAGCACATTCTTTGACAACAGTCCCTGCATGAAGATTCTTAATTAAATTGTACTCAGCATGTTGTAAAAATTGCAAGGTTTTGGAGGCATGAGGTGTACAGATAATGTAGCATTTTACATGGCAGCTTTGCATTTTAGCAGGATTCCACAACACTTTCTTTGCCTTCAACATAAAATACTGCTGAAGGAAATGACCTAAAAATTTCATATACTTTGTCTTCTGTTAAGTTTTAATTTTGCTTCTCTTTCTTAAAGGTTGTTAAAGGCCTCTTGCTATTAATGTTGGGGTATATACAACATTTATTCATGTGTACAAAATAGATTTAGGATAAATTCCGAGCTTGTACACACAAATATCCATTGATAAATAACTCCTGCTGATTAATTAAAATAGTAAAAAAAAAAAAAAAAAGGAAAGGAAAGAAAAGGATAGAAATAAGTCCCATGTACGAGACACACTTTGTATTTTTGACCAGTTCTATTTGTGATGCTCTTTTTACCCATAAGGACCTCTGTTCCTCCTATGTGCATGTATATACACACATGTCACAGAAAAACAAACTTCTGGAATGAGAGAAAGGAGATTTTAAGACTATCCCTCACACCAGAATATAATGCCTCCAGGCTCCTCCCATTTCAACTGGCTTCACCACTTGCATTTTTGTGTGAAAATAGTGAATCCCCAGAACTCACCAAGCACCTCCTCCTCTTGGCTTGTTCCTGTCCTTGTTGGATTTATGGCAGATGCACCAGGTGGGACCCTGTGCATTTTTGGGGTTACCAGGGGCCTGCTGATGCTGAACATGTGCAGGTGCCATTTGGCACATGTAGGAGTCTTGGTGCACCCAGGTACAGCTGGGTATGAGCTGATTTTGGGATCAGTCTGAGGAGGTGCTGCAGTCATTTGGCCACAGTGCCATTTTCTCCATTAATCAAGTGTTCACAGACACCTTCCTGCAGGGCATTCCCTGACCCTGGATCACTCTGGGATGCAGAGCGTGATGAAAAACAAGTTTTGTTTTTGCCAATAAAGTTTAGTTTGGGCTGTTATGAGGCTTTTGCAACACTTTTTCTTCTTTTGGCCAGGCTTTTTCTGTTCTCCATTTCAGAGGACTTCAGTAGATAATAGTGCCTCTCTACCACACTCCTTTTTAAAAAAGAGAAACCACAGCTTGCTAAATTCAATACAACTGCTTTAAGGACTAATGCTAAAAATCCCAGATAAATTCAGGAAATAAGGGAAAAGACAAAGCAATGGGGGAGAGAGAAAACCATCCCTGGCCATGGCAGGTAGGTTGGAACTAGATGATCTTTAAGGTCCCTTCCAACTCATACCATTCTATGATTCCATGATAATGTCAGAGGGCAGACAACACCACTTTGCTTAATCAGTTTTATTCAAATTACTGTTATCTGGATGAAAGTGCAGACTGTAGCCTGCAGGGAATCTCCTCTTCTGTCCCCTTCTGTGAGGAAATGCCTCTGTCTTTCCTACATTAACAGCAAGCAGCCATTTGGAGCATGCAGCAATGAAACAGGCCACTTCCACCAGGACAACTGGTTCCCTTCTTGGCCAGAAGAAATCCCTACCTGCCCGCTGGGCTTACTGCAGGCACAGCCTGGACATGGAATGCACATGAGTGGGAGGGACCTTCCCAAAGGAGATGCTTCTTCTTTCCTTCTCTGTCAGTAAGGGCTGCGTGCTGAAATGCTGCACACTTTTTTTCTTGTAGAGTCCAGGTTCTCAGTAGTGGACAAGCTGCCAGAAGAGGTCCCTCTTCCACCACTGCCCACTCATCCGCTCCCCGTACCCAGGTACTGTCCCGATCTGGGGGGGACACTCTCACTCCCTATGTGGTCTCTTCACCGCTCCTGTGGCAACACAACCACTCACCTCTCCGTGGGAAGTTTATTTTCTGAATTTAAATGCCCCACCTCTGCATTCCCAGCACAGCCCTACAACCAGAGGCAGCAACGTGCCATGTGGGGCAGGAGCAAGGTGCTGGCAAGTCTTCGGGTGACTTTACACTAAATAAAATGTCATATCCTCCCTGTTCTGGGGGAGTGTGAGAGGGACACTTACTTAACTGCAGGGGAGAGCAATTTGCAAGAAGCAGGCAAGGGTCTCTTCTCGTGCACTTCCCTCCGTTGTCCCTAACCTTCCCATGTGAGCCCCTGCGGGGAAATTGCAAGTCACAGCTTTGAAAGCTTTTTCCACACTCTTGTGCCCACACTATCCAGGGGGACTGTGGGAGGGAAAATTAACAGCAACTCCTTTAGAGGTTTCTGGGACACGCTGTGCTGATGTGGGGGAGTGTTAGCTGTCCTTTCCCTTTTTCTCATCTAAAAGATGCTGCTGTGAGCCTTGAAGGCAGGCATGTGAGTCTGGCACCTCCTTCAGGGACTCAGGACTCTGATGGAAGGGAAATGATCCCTGCTAAGACACGGCAGACCAGCAGCTGGGCATTCAGGTGAGCCTCCCCCCTGCTCTTACTGAGAGGAAGGGTGACACTCAGGACCTCTTGGGCTGCAAAGACAGTAGCAACATGAATCAACATAATGATATGTAATTCTTGGCAAAGCACAGTCAATAATCAAGTCTTGCTTTTCAGGAGCTGCTGGTGAATTCAGCCCTTGCAAGGAACTTCTAACTGTGACCCTTGCAAAGTAAGGGCTCTGCTTACCCCTGGCACATTTACTGTACATGCAAGGTGGCATCCTTGCATGCAGATGTCTTCCCTGTGGTGTGACTTGTGGGGCCATCTGCCAGGAGATGTCCAGGTGAGGTTGGGGCCTGCAGCTGCAGTGAAAAAAACCCTCAATATTAGTAACAAACACCAAGGAAAATCATGTTTGGAGTCAAGCCACGGTGTCTCACCACATGTCATATCATGGTCAGCCTGGGTGCTGTTTCCTAAGCAGAATTGAAAAGCAGGGCACAAGAAGCTCACCCCATCTTTAAGCTGTTTGCTCACATGTGTCCTGCCAATCCAGCTATCTCAGTACTTCTTGTGGTCACTCATCAGGAATAAAATCTGACAGTGACAGACACATGTCTCTACAGATAGGAGCCATTATGATATGACATATATGTGCCTGCAGGAGTAAACAAACATTATGTGAAGATCAAAGCCTCTGAGAAATACAGACAGTAGTAAACTGGAAAAATCTCTTGCGTTCTGTTGTCTATTCCAGTGTTGAACAGGCATTCATTCCTCCTTGTGACCTGCACACAAGATGAAACAGAAATACCCATTATTTGTCTCTATGAAGATTTCGTGACAGTATAGCACATCAGGATGCAAGTTGAAGTGCTTACATAATCTCAAGGGAGCCTGAAACAAACCCCAGACAACTACTCAGTAGTTGAAATAAGCTCAGTATAAACCAGATTAAAAATATCCATGTTTCATTTTCATCAGAATGAGGTGCATTCTCCAGCCTTAAATATTCAGGCCTCTGACCAATCACTAAAATAGTCTGGGATAGCTATTGATAGAGAACTAAGTTCTCTGTGCTGTGCATCCTTCACCTATTTGTCTATTAAGAAAGCCTTATCCCTATATGTAAAAAACACACACTCACCCTGTTGTAATTACTTACTTTAGAACATGAAAGCTCTTCACTAACAAACACAGAGATCCAGATATGCCCTGTGGTAAGCTCTAAAAAAAATTAAAAAAAAAAAGAGAGAAAAAAATGGGGAAAAAGGTGTCGTTAGAGCCTTTTAAATTCAAGTAATCTGTAAGAACAGCTCTACCATAAAGTTTTCTCTGCAGGGTATAAGGGTGTGTGGGAGGTAGTTCCTGCAGGGAGGTAAAGAAAACCTCAGTAATCTCAAGAACTTGCTGGAAAAATTCAACCAATTATTTCAGTACAAGATTTAATTGGCCATTTTCAATTATCACAAAGAATAGGACAGAAATACAACCTTTGTACCCCAGAGATGAGAGAACAGCAGATTTGCTAGCTCCCAAGCTCTTGAGATGAATGTCTTGCTCCTTACACTCTCTGTCTTCATTTGCAATAGCTATGTTTGGTATAACCTGGACAGTTTCCAAGCACAGCCCTTCTCAAAATCCAAGGAGCTGGCCTGAATCCTTTACTTGCATAAATCTGTGTTACTCCATGCAACTGTCAACTGGGCAAGGGCTGAATCTGGTCCTGATCCAAAAAATTTTTGCTTGTTTTTTTTGTCTAAGGCAATCAGTTTGTGAGAGAAGCATGGGAGTGCTTTAGTTTTTCAAGCCAGAATTACCTTTATAGAGTGGGTGTCCTTATTCACAGTGTGCATCCGGTCCTATTTGGATTGCCTTCTGGCTCACTGTTTTCCTTGTGTATTAACAAGTTAATGTCACTGATTTGAGTGGGGTCACTCTGGGTGCTCTGCACAAAAAGGCTGATTCACCTCACATAAGCACATGACCCAGAGAACTGGATTTACACAAAGGGAAGGAAACTTATTTCCCCATCAGTCAAAGAAAAGGAAGTTTCCCCAGATCATGATGACTAAAGAACCACCAATCTCACTTGAGACTTAAACCTGACAATTGATGTTCGTTCAAGCACCCATCCACATACACTTCAATTTAGATCTCAGACTAATGTTAGAGCCACTTGTTCAATTAATATGCTAGTTAATTAATTCTGCTGTTATCTATTTTCGTTTCTCAGCAGAATAATCAGATATCCCTTCCCTACTAAATCAAACCTGCCTGTAGTATGTCGGAATGAATAAGACCATCTTTTTAATTTCCCAGGCATTAAGTAATTAAAGCTTCCTTGCATGGGAGAACAGTGTGTTACTGCCACTGGTGAACAGATATGACTGATCTGTACTTTCTTTAGGGAAACATACAGAAGATGAAATATCTCCTATCCATGTATGCCACAGTTTATCTCTGTGCTTTGCATTTATTACTAATGAGCACTACTAATTAACTGTGTTAAAATACTTCTCAGGGAGTGCTACATATCTGAAGTGCAATTTTGTCAAGTGGGTCATTTCAGGGCACTTGGAGCTGATGTGCCCCACAGAAGGTCCCCAGGACAGCACTGTGCTGGAAAACAGTGTGGAGACCACTGTAGGAGAAGATCCTCTGGCCAGGGACTGTGCTGTGGCAACACTACTGTTGTGATATGCTCACACAGAGCAAAGCCAGCCCCAAAATTATAGCCATGTGAGTTTTGTCATGCAAGGGGTGAAGAAGGACCCCAGTTCTCCTTTTCCCAGGACCCAAATCCTCTTTGAACGTCTCTGAATCCCCTTTACTGGGAGAGGTTTTCAGGAATTTGAAGTTCAGTTAAGCTGTGGGGGAAAAAAAACAGAGAAAGGGACACCTCCAGAAAACACTGCAAATAACATCAGGACTCTGATGTGTAGTGCAGCAGTGTCTGTGCACCTACCTGGAAGGAACTTGAGTGTCCTGATATTTGCCCTCAGGATGCAAGAGAGATGCAGCAAGATTTGCTCAGGAAAGGCAAGTTACTATAGGGGAAGTCATGGCACACCATCCACTGAGATGGAGATAGAAGTTTGAAGCCAGGACACATTTTGATGACTGTGGTCATCATGATAAAGCACATGTGAAGCTGATCTGCAGACTTTTCCCTGATTAGACTGTTTTCAATCTTGGAGAGTCGTTCTTTCCTTTCATGTTTGATACTGAAGTAATGCCATGTTATGCTAATTCCTTTGATTCAGCCACATAACACAAAGGAAAGCAAGTAGTATAGTTACCTGGCATAGTACGAAAAAAAGAAAGACAGCAGCTAGTGCAAACTGATGAAAACAAGTGCAATTTTATATGGACTGGAGACTAATGAGCTGAGTTTTATCCACGCCAGTCAACGTGAATGGATTGCATGTGCCAGTGTCCAAGAATCCTGAAAAGTCAGAGTGCAGGGTCGTACATATTCATTGCTAGCTCATCCACAAGGGTGGGATTCCATGTAGACAGATGAGTGGGCATGTGCATCCTGGTGTTTGTGGCACGAGTGAAAAGTCTTTTAAATTTTTCTGTATTCAAGAGAATGCTTTGCAAGGAAAATATGGGCTGCTGTCATATCTGAAGCTTATTCTCACTCATCTTGCCTTCAAGATGATCAGACTTGACCATTAAAATGAGCCAAATATTCAGAGCTGAATTCTTAGTTACCTCTGAATATTGGATAATCTGCTATGAAACTAAGTGTAAATTACGGATTGCAACATCCAGGATTATATATGACAGTTCAGCATAAAAGCTAATTTTTTTTCCTGGTTTTTGATGTTTCAGCCAGTCAGGAAAGGGATAAAACACCAAGTGAGAGGATGCAATTGGCAACTCAAGTAAATAGCTGAAGCAAAATTTCCCACTAGTTAAGAAGATTCTTAGGTTGATTAAATGACATAGAATTGCATGTGATGGATGCATTTCCAAACATCAAGTTGGTATTGAAAATATTCCACCATTGAAAACTAAGCCAGCCTAATCAGGGGCTGTAAGAAAATCTCTGTGATTTTGTCCTGACCTTGATCTCAATTTACGTTCTTCAGTCTACCTATTTTTGGAAGTGTTTCCATCAAGTGGTACCACCTTTTGCCTCTGCTGAGTTCCCTGGTTGTTTAAATGCCAGTGCTCTGGGACAGATCTTTGCTGGTGGCTGACTGCATTCAGGAGGGACCTCTGTGTCCAGAGGGATGGAGGAAGAATAAACAAGAGATTTGTAGCTCAGGAACAGGAGATACTGATGAAAAAAGACAAATGAGAAAAACTTAATTCCAAACAAGATCACAGGAATCACTGTGTTAAATCCAAGAGCCTGTTCTTTGTGCTGCTACATTCTGGTCTGAATCTGGCCCTCAAGTGCCATCAATGTCTGGTTTTTTCTCTGAAGAAAATTCGTTTCAGAAATGTTGAGCCTCAGCCTAATACAATTAAGATTCAGGGTAGCTAAGTGGGCAGGATGTAAGGAGGGGGAGCCACAGCCTGTCTGTGTGTGTGTGTCTGTCAGATTCAGTAACCAGTGTAAGAATTAAAATCTGTTTCGCCTTATGAAATCCTGTGAACAGACCATCCTATCTCCTGTTACAGCTGTAACTGCAATTGCATGGCTCTTAGGAATCCTCTTTATTAAGGTTTTGTGGTAGCCTACAAAATGCATGGCAGGGTATGTTTTCCACTTAAACTAAGTAGTGTACTTGTGATTTATGAAAAAGTACTAAACGGTAACACCGCATGTCTTAGGCAAAAATACCAAACAGAAGGGATAAGATGATCCTGCTGATATCTGCTACCCAGCAAGCCTGACACATCAGGAGCTGGACAGAACGGGATGTTCTTAGAATTTGTTATGTTGAATGTTATGTTCCAAAGAAAATAAAAAGCTGGGGAAAATTGACTTCCCTGGCTGTGATGGTGTTCAGGAATTTTATTGGTCTCTTTTGTTATAAAAAGAGAGAGATCGAGACACAGCAGTATTGCGAAGATACATCAGAGCTTTTCCACTTGAATTGTTGCAGCTTCAGAAATTCCCCCAGTTTGGTAATCCACGTCTGATTAATTTGGTTCTAAATCTCTTTAATCAACACCTAGAGAATTTGGCCAGCCCAGACAACAGCCTTTTGTTCCTGTTAGCAGCAAGCAGCAGATGCTGTTCCCAATCACTGCACACCCACGTGTGCAGCCACTGCCACAGGGCAGCTGTGCAATGCCTGTGTGGTGAGTCCCAGTCCCAGTATGTTACTGGGGATCTCATTCTCCGCCACTCTGAAAGGACAGCCTCCTGGGCTGCCTCTCTCCACACATGGAGTGACACCTTTTACTGTGTCTAGTGGCAATTTTGGGCACGAGGGGCCTTTAGAGCTAAAAAACACACCTTCTAGTGGTGCCCTGTGCCTGTAGGCCACGGCTTGCTGTCTGGGAAGAAGCCAAATCTGGTTTTAAAGATGGATTTGGAGCACACCTCAAAATAAAATTTGGGCATATCTGTTATGAATTCAGGCTGCCATGCTATTATAGCCTTGGCCATGCATGAGTGAAGGCTGATCTCTATGTTTGTACTAGCACATTATCCTCTTTGTCATCATGGTTATTAATCTTACATGTAATTCCTTAATACCTTTACAGACATTTTATTTTAATTTAGGTGCACAGTCTGTAACATCACCATTTTAATCTGCTGCATATATTTTAATCCATTAGCTGATGACTGTTTGATAGCAGGACAGAAGAAAATAGGATTGGATCACCACAATTAGTGGTGAAAATGTCTCAGTGACATTTATATGAATTACTCAGTTTACTTCATAATCCACGAAGTTACAATCCTTTTATTATGTGACAAAGCCAATGCATTAGAGACCATTGGAAAGATAAGTTATATCTGAAATGTGAAGCTTTATTAGTATCATTGCTTTCCATCAACATCGTTTAAAATCCATCCTAACTTTTTAACAGATCATAATACTTAATCTTTCTCCATCCTTCCCTCAAGACAGTTATTTCAGTAGTAGATCTTTATACACTATAAAATAGGCCTGGCAAATACAGGGTAATTATTAGCTTTCCAGGTCAAGCTACAGGTTCCCTTGTGTGTATATTTTTCATTCTTGTCTGAGGACAGACAGGCTAATGGATCATTGAACTGCAGGGGAAGAATTATTTAGTCAGTGGTTCATAGA